GTGCAGGGTTGATGTAAAATTTCTTGGTCTCTCACTGGGAATGGTGGAGCAATTTTACCAAAGATAAGAGTTGCTATCATGCTCAGCCAGTCAGAGGTCCTGCTCTCAACATCCCATCTTATGTCAATTCTGACCATACCAGTTAGAGGAGTCAAGGTGGACACTGTCTCCTTTAAATTTTTTTTTCCAAAGTGAAAATAATACTTGCCTGAACAAGTCTAAATGTATGTTCCTTTATTGGACCTATTGAAAATGAAAGAATATGCCAGAGTGAATAGAGGAAGTTAGAGATTTATGGTTAAGGAAAGGGGAAATGGTGCAAGAAGCATGTGATGTTTTTTTGCCAATAATCCTAGTCTCCAACAAAAGGGAGGAAGGGTGCTCTGAACCTTGGTTCTCATGGTCAAGAAGTAGATTTAGAAGCTCCTCAACTTGCAAACTGATTCTATGGAAAAAGTAATTACAGATCCTGAATTACTACCAAGGACATTTAGAATTAAAATCATTTGGCTGTGCCTTTAGTGTTATCTTTTTAAATAAGTTTCCTAATCAATGGTTCTTAAAACCATAACCATAATGGTTAATAATATAAAGACATAAATTTCCCAAAATGTTTTCTAGTTGTTGTTACTCATCTACCACTAGCCCATGCAAGCTGTAACTGAGCCCTTAAATGGTGAGAACTTTCCTTTGGACTCTAGAAATGTCAGGCATGGACTCATGAGTGTCTCTCATCATTTCCCTGCTGTTCTTGATACCCAGTTCTGTCTTCTGTTTATATTTCTAAATTATCTCTTTTGTTTGCTGGGTAATAATGAGTTAGGACTAAAGGCATCCAAAAGTTCCATGAGAGCCCCCCCCTGCCAAATATGGAGGCATCAGGGAAAAATTCTGATTTCGCTTAGAACATTAAGGATGAACAAACTGATTTTGGCCTTGCAGGTGGGGTGTTTAGTGGTCCCTGAAGAACTTTTGCTAACATGAGCTTCTCCGATTCGTCTTGCCTACATCAAAGAAATCAATAATGGGGCTTTCATCTTTGAGATGAGCATATAATTCTGTAGTGGATACTCCAAACTTTAAGAGGGGGGATTGTGCTTCATCTCAAACTGCTAATCTTTGTATTGCTACCCAAAGCTTCCACTTTCAATTTAGACTGTCAACTTTGTTATCAGAAGAAAAATCGTCTTCACCCTTTCTATTAAATATTGCAAAAGAGTGCTATTCCCTTTAAGTGGGCAAGAAAAGAGAATAGGCCTCATCTTCTCCCATGGATGCAAACAGACTTGTGAAACTGTAAGATATATGACCTCAGAAAGCCTTGCTTCCCCTGTGGATGACAGAGAGGTGGTCAGGAGAGGCTGGAGGGGGTGGGGAGTTATTCTTTGGAAGCCATTTATTTGCCTCCTGTTCCATCCTTACATCCTAACAGTACCCACATTCAAAAAACATTTGAGGAGCTGTATGAGGTTTTGTTTGTTTTCAAGAGACGTTTGAAAGAAGATCAAATGCTTGTGAAAGGCACTGGATTGGCGGTCCTAGAAACTGAAGTGTCCCGGAAGCTGTGTGAGCCCGGAAATATCCCCCCTTTCTATTTAGTTTGGCACTTTCACTTAAAACTAGCAAGAGCTGGAGTTCATGCTACAAGTACGTTTTCCCCAGGCACCACGAAAGGAAAACACATATTACACTTGATTTTAACTGGTTGAGAAAAATGGTGGCTTTTGAAAAGTTCATTATGTGGTCCTGAAATAAATGTTAATGGTTCTTCATGTAGGAGAGCCAAGCTACCATTTCAATTGAAATTCTTCATAGTTTCAGGGGTTCTCCTAGTTGGAAGGGCCTTAGGTCATTGGGTTCTCTCCATCTGTCACATGCTTGAGATTTCACTACCACATCACCAAAAAGTGTTGGCAAGCTTGGGCTTAAAGTTTTTGGTGATATGAAAATTGTTTCTACTTCAAGAGACTAACTTTTTTACATATGGCTCTAATTTTCAGAAGTACAATAATATTAGTTAATACTTTAATAGCACTTGTCATGTGCCATGTGCCATTTTGGTCACCATAATACACATACACACACACACACACACACACACACACACACATTTGTCTGTACCTACACACAAAATCTCAGTCCTCACAATTACATGAGGTAGATGCAATTATTAGCCCCATTTGACAGACTAGGAAACTAAGGCATAGGATTAATTACATGATTTGCCTAAGACTATGTAGCTAGTAAGTGAGCCAGGATTTGAACTCAGGCATTCTGACTGTACATTCTGTGCTCTTAATGTGTATATATATATATATATATATATATATATATATATATATATATAATCTCCTTCATGCCTAGTATGGAGATATTTTACATTGTAGATGCTCAATAAAAATGTTTTCCAATAATTTTATTTTAAGATCATGAGTCCATACTTATTTCAATTCATTTTGCACACAATCATCAATTTCCCCTAAGAAAAACATTTAAAGTTGAAAATTGAAAATTTTAAGTGACTATTAATACTCTGTCTACTTTAAGAAAACATTGAGGAAGTTAATAAGCATCTAACATTCACTATATTTAGCCTTTTTTAGGTCCTTGAACAATTCACCTTATATTAGAGAAGGATATTCCAAATATATAAGATTTGTGTCCTTTCCTGTTTTACTCTGTACTTGCCTCACTATTCTACATAGAAATCATTTCATCTCAGCAGTGAACTTGTTTTTATGGTCTGTCTTTCCACCATGATACAGTCATCTATATCACTTATTTGTCCATCTGTCCATCCATCCAGTGGGCTCTTTGGTATTGATAGTACCTATTACATGGCAATCATTATTTGATAATTCCAAAGGATTGCTTAGGGTTGATAAAAACCCATTCCAAAAGAAAGTTTATTTTAATGCATAGTCTAAGACTATGGGAACTTTAACTAGACAGCTCTCTTGCCTTTATAAGATTCTTCTTGAATATAGTTTATGATTATGTATAGTAATAGTTTACCCAAACCTTTCCATATGACATGCACTTTGAATTCTTCTGCTGAACTAATGGTTCCTTGAGAAGCTTCTGATTAGAACTTTTCCTTATGGATTGAGCCTTGGAAGTCTCCATACTGAATGAATGCTGGGTTTTCAGGAAGGGTGATCTGGAGTAGAAAGCAGAGCAGGGGCACCAAGAACCATGACTTCGTTAAACTAGGCTACTTGGATGGACTAGGTCATGTGTGGTTTTTAGTCATCTTCTTACCCCTGACTTCATCATTTACTTGGCTAAGTACTTCTCTTTTCTACCCTCTCTGAATGACTATAATTCACAATTTGGATGATCTTGAGACTTTTTGCTTTATCCTCTAGGAAGACTTTGTTCCTACTGATTAAATCCAGAAAAGTGAAGATCTCTAAGACTTAAATTCTGTGAATCTACTTAGTTTTTCTTCACCCTCAGGGAAATCCAGCATCTTTTCTGTTATTTACTATTTCCTTCTGGATGAAAAATATTAAATGAGTTGGAGACTTCATATATTCATTTCTGTTCTCTTTTTCCTTTTGGAATTTTTTCTCAGTTGATTCATTGATTATGTACTTTTGTCGGCTGGCCAGAAGAAAGAAAAGCTTAGAATCTAAGTATGTCTTTACTCATTTCTAAATCTCACTGTCCTTGTATTTAAAATGAAGGGATTGAACAAAACAATTTCTGAAGCTTCTTCCATCTCTAACATAACATGGTCCTAATGTTTTTCATGGAGCAGAAACTCATGGAATTTTAATCTAAAAATCCAAGTCAAATCTAGATATGTGTGTGTAAAGGAGTTCACTATAAGGTAAAGAGAGTGTGTATGTGTTGGGGGTGGTTCTAGGAAAGATAATTAGAAGGTAGTAATTGGACATCAGAAGTTTTCACTGTGGGTTGAATTATGTTCCCTTCTCTGAAATTTATATGTTGAAGTCTCAATTCCCAGTTCCTCAGAAATGTTTCCTTATTTGGAGATAGGATCTTTACACAAGTTATTAAGTTAAAAAGAGGTCATTAAGTTGGGTCCTAATCCAATCTATTATCCTTACACAAGGAAGCACTGGACACAGACATATGTACCTAGGGAAGATGAGAAGGAGACCATCTACAAGTCAAAGTAGGGGCCTGATGCAGAACCTTCCTGAGAGCCTCTGAAAAACCTGATACCTGAAGTTTCAACTTCCAGTCTCTGAAACTGTGAGAACAAAAATTTCTGTCGTTTTTAGCCACTCAGCCTGTGGCACTTTGTTATGGCAGCCTTAGCCAACTGATACATTTTAAAAATCAGATTCCAAAGTTAAAAAAAAAAAAAAAAAGTTCAGCGACCTCTCAAAGGTTACCTCATAAGCCTTTAGGTAAATACTGGGTGCCCTTTGGTCTGACCCCTGGACCTGACCAAGAAACACGGCCTCCAATAATATTGCAGGAAAAGAAATCTGGGAACTTCTGTGACACAATTCAGTCTTGCTGAGAATTTGGGGCTAATATTTAACTCTGAACATATATTGACATGGGCAATTCTTCTATTATAGATTAGTAGAAAATTTAAAATAAAAATACATATAAAAGCCTTTTTTATCTGAAATTTTTTTTTACTCATTTAAATTTTGGAAGGGGAAAGGAAAAGGGTGCATCTTGTTTGCCTCTTATAATTTTTGCTCTTTTTTTTTTATCCATTCTTGCCACTTTCCTTGTCCTTTCTTGGCTTTCCATTTTTCTTTCCCATTTAACAGGTTATTCTCCTTCCATCGTGAGCATTATCTAGCGCTGTCAGGGCCACTGGTCTTCATGTCCTCTACAGCATTTCCTCTCTTATCCTGGCCTCTGTCTGCTTAGTCCTTCTCTCCTCCATTTTCCTTGTTTGATCAGTTTCTACCTTGTCTCCCTCCTCTGCTCTTTCTTCTTTGCTCTGATTTGCTGACTTGCTTCTGCCCCTTCCTTGTGTTCCCCTCCTGGGTGTGGCTTTGACCCACCTTTCCTTCGCCTCTGAGACTTCTTTTTCTTGTTGGTAGATGGGAGCTGATACTGTAAACATCACAAAAATAATTGCATTGAGAAGAGGCTGTTCCTAGGGTGACCCTGAAGACAAAGTCTTTGAGTCAGCCCAGAGTGCCCAGGCTCCATAGAAAGCAGGAAGCCAGCACTGGCCCTGGAGAGGAGTCTACAACTGGGTCCCAAGACCCAACGTTCCAGAACTTTGAGACTCATCTCTGACACCCACTTCCTCCCTGGCTAGAAATCAAGAGACACTGAGTCACCTGGGAAGAGAAAAAATGAACATACCTTCCCCCCCTTCCAGCACACCTTCCCACCTCACTTATCTAGAAGTTTCTTCTGTGGCCCTCTCTCTCTGACTCACTGTTGGCTTCTGTGTTCTGTATGCATCCTGTCTTCAACAGTCCCTATATATCACATGAGAGACATCTCCACTAAGACACCAAGGTCTTCCTTCCGCTTCAGCGGTGGCTTAAGACCAGGAAGCAGCAAATGTGTCGGGATGAATGGTCTCCTAGCTGAGCTTTCTAAACAGTGGAGTTTTTTTGGCTTCAAAAATTAAAACAACATGTAGGATTTTTTTTTCAACAGAGTCCCCAAAGAGTCCAAAAATTTATCTTTTTTTTTTAACTCATCTTCCTCACTTTCTCCTCTTCTTTCATCTTCTCTTTAGTTCTCATGTTTTCTACTTACAGACTAAACCTTTACTTAGCCCTCATTTTCATTTGTCACTCATCCATTCAACAAAAATCTATTGAGTGATTTTATGTACTTCTGATGGCATAGCTGGTATCTGTAATGTTTATAGTTTAACTCGTAGAAAACAAAGATGCCTGCAAATTTTTATCATTAGAAATTTCTAGATGTTCTCACAAGTAAAACAGAAATTTCTATTTGTAATTTTTTCCCCCCTAATTTGTATTTCCCACTGAATGTCAATTTCAAATAGATCCCAGTACAGAGCTTTTTTTTTTTTTTTTTTTGCACCATTGCAGAATTCCAGGATTAACAAGTTCAGTTTTCAGTTATCAATTACAATTACGACAGTTTTATCTGATTCTAAAGCCCATTTTTTTGGGGGGGGTACCAAGGATTGAACTCAGGTCACTCAACCACTCCATATCCCCACCCCTATTTTGTATTTTATTTAGAGACAGGGTCTCATGGAGTTGCTTAGCGCCTCGCCATTGCTGAGGCTGGCTTTGAACTTGCGATCCTCCTGTCTCAGCCTCCAGAGCCACTGGGGTTACAGGTGTGTGCTACCCTGCCTGGCTCCAAAGCCCATATTTTTGCCAGTGTTTTACACCATATTCCAGATCATCCAGAGCAGGGGAAGGTGAAATTTGCAATGCTGAGTGACTGAGGGATGGACATACAATCCATCCTGTTGGTGGGAATGGTTTTTTTCCCCCTTTTAACCAGGAGGCTGTAGGCAGAATTTCTGTTAGGCCCACCACGCGCAGAAGACGGAGATCACTTGAGGGTGACTGGATCCCACCCAGGTGGGCTTACCTTCTGAGTCTTGGGCATGTCAGTGTGGCGCTGGGCACGGACGGAGCGGGCCGACTTGGCAGGCTTGAGGGGTGCGCAGTACATCTCTAGTCTCCTTAGATCACAGCTCCGGAAGCAACACTCATCCACGATGCCTGTCTGAGGTGCCCTCCGACTGCTGGAGCCGTACCCCGTGGGCTTGTCTGTACAAATCACAGGAAGAGTGGCTGGGGTTAGTGTGGAATCTGCTACTTTTAATCTTCCAACTCTCTATGCTATCTCTCTTCTCTCCACTTGGAGCCAATACTCATCCTCTAATATCTCACCTTCTCCTGGAAGCTTCCCCAGCAATTCCTGACCCCACGGATCCTCCTGGTTTCCTTGTGTTTCCTGGGGTCTACACTATATTTGTTGGCATAAACTCATTCACCACAAAACTTGGAGAGAAGTTTGGGAGAACTTCTTTCCATGTTTTCAGCAACTTGTCAAGAATCTTGTCTAATCTGAACACTTTCAATATATTGGTTTATTTGGGAGGCCACTAAAAATACTAACTAAAAGAAAATCATGCAGTAAGTTTCCTTAACCTCTTTTTCACTTATTTATTTGTCCTTTTGACAGATAATATTAGTGCATGTTTATGGGATCCAATGTGATATTTCATTACATGAATGTACTTTGTAATGATCAACTCAGGATATTTGGGTTATCCATTATCTCACATTTTTGAGCAAGGATACTCTTCAATAAATGGTTCTGGGAAAACTGGGTGTCCTTCATCTTTTTAACAAATCTGTATATTTTTTATATGTAGGACAGCTCCAAGGTTTGCTTTTTCCCTTATCTGCTTCCTTTGTAATATCAAATTGAAGATGAAAGGGGTTTAAAGTATGAAAAGGGCTCCTAATTTTACTGGTGTGAAAACTGAGACTCATTTGGGAACAACTGGCTCAAGGGGACGCATGCAGTAAGTGATGGAGAAAGGATTCAAACTCCTATGTGCTTTCTGCAAAGCCCAAGTGCCCCATCAAGCCCAGGAGACCTGGCATGTGACTCTAGACAAGTCATGTAAGCTCTTTAGGCCTCAGTTTCCCCATTTATATAATGAGGTAATAATATCTTCTTTGTCAAAATAGAGGATCAAATAAAATATTAGAGGAAAGAATGTAAGGGTAGTGCCTAATGCAGCACCTGACACATAGTAGATGCTAAATAAATATTGGTTTGCTTCCTCTGAGCACCCTTTCTGGGTCTTATATGGTCTATAAAGAAGCAGTGTTACTATTGACTGCACCCAGAAGCTTGGGAACTTAGAACCCATAGTAGCAGTGGGATAGGGCTCCTTCTAGCATCACCTGAGGGATCAGTATAATCATTTCTTTTTTTAAATAGAAATCTACTAGACAGAGACAGACTGAACTAAAAGTCCATCTTCCATGTGATTCTGATTGCTAAGAGGGAGCACTCAAATCAATTAGCCCTCTTTACTTAGCAAGTAGGTCTTGGCTTGGTTTGATTTTGTTGGGGGCACACTTCTTTTGGCTTTGGAATTAAAAGAGAGGGCAAAACAAGCTCACACAGAACTTAACATGCACCTGGAAAAATTATTTGTAAATTTGTGTCCTATTAGATCTTTTGTTAAATCAAACCTTGCCCATACACCAGAACATAAAACAGACCCAGGTGAAGCTCCTCTGGCTCAGGTGAGGGTAGGGAGACTGGACTTTGGCCTTTTCTTATCTCCCTTGTCTCCTATGGGAGGTGAGGGGCCTGGGTTTCTCCATGGAGGTCTAGGCTTCATGGAAGACAATTTACAAACCATCAATCTACAAGAATACAATTACAAATATGAAAGAGATTCAAACTTAATCCCCGATCTGGGAAAGCTTGATATTTAAAAAAAAAAAAGTCTTATGTTTGCATGATAATGACACTATACTTAAGGATGGGGTTTTGAAAGTCTAGACCCTCATGTATATTTTGAACTTCCTCATTTGGGGATGTCAGGCCCACGGTAATGGCCAGCTACCAAACTAGTCTGGCTGCCTCTCTGCTGGAAGGGCCAACTGTTCATGGCATCCTCTAAGAACCCAAATGTTTTCCTGATGCTTGGCATGCCAGCCTGGTGGCTGCTTCCTCCCGAAAGGCAGGTTTATTGTCATTTTTAGGGCAGCTGGAGGTAGTCACTTAGTGAGGGTTCATTTGTGGACTCTGTGGGCGGGATCTGCTGCTGTGTCCCAGTGCAAACGCTGTAGGCTTCTCATGGTTGTGGGCTTTGGGAGGGACCAGGCAGCTGGCTCCAATTGGAGCCTTGGCTTTGCCTTCACTTGCCATGAGGGCAAAGGCTAGTATAGAAGTGGACTCTGCTCTGACTTGCCAGCCAGGTCCTGGCAAGCCGAGACTGGCTGATCCCCTGAGCAATGTAAACAATGTTTTCCGTGTGTTTTTTTTTTTGTTGTTGTTGTTTGTTTTGTTTTTATAATCTTTTCCTGGGACAATAAATTAGAAGAAAGACCCAAATTGGCTGACATGGTTCTTTGTAATCCACAAAGCACTTCTACATACTTTTTGCTAAGTGGCTAGCCAGTCAAGAGTAGTGGTTTTTCTCTTGAGGTAGGGAAAAAAAGAAGGTGACATGGTCATTTTTGTGCTAATTGTCACTATCATCCACTACAGATAATGATTATTCTGTGTTGAGACAATCTATTTCTTAATAGGACCTAATTGGGATTCATTTGTTGATGATGAAATAGAAATTTGATATTGGGGATGGGTTTGTGGGGATGGGTTTGTAGGGATGGTTCCAGAAACTTCCAAATGTGTGGCCAACTCAGAAAAAAACGGATTTGAAAACTCAGGCTTTTACATTGAAAATGGAGAGGGATAGGTTTTGGGATGGCAGGACCCACACTGCGTTCTCTTTTCATGCACACCTGAAAACCTTACCTACTACAGGAGGAAGTCGCCAACCCTCACCTGGGATAGCAGAGCCACTCTGTGTCCTATAATCCCTTCTTGGCAACTGTCAACAGTCAAAGGTCTCTTTCTTCTTGGTAAACAGACAGTAATCACCACAGCCAAAAATGGCAGACATACCTGACACCAGGTTTGTTGCCTGTTTTGGTGAGCTCAGGTTTGACATGACTCAGTTTATGAAATAGCTGTGTTTTTCAGTTCTTAGACTGATGAATTTTAGAATAGAGAATATTAGGAGTTTTCTGTAATGTTCCATAAAGAAAGTTGATTTTATGTCCATATCTGTTTTTTAAAATGTTATTGAAGTAGTGCTATACAGACTTGGATTTTCCCATAAAATAGAACTACCACTTATCTCCACTACCAGAATCTTAGATGTTTTCCTTTGTCTATTCATAATATCTACAATGGAATCATTGTACTCTATTCAGAATATATGAATATGACAAGTGTTTACCTATTGCCTTTTAAAGTTTAATTTATCCTTTGAAGTGCCCTATAGGCTTGATTTCTGGTTCTACATTAAGATGTTTAACAAACAATCATCATCTCTCACCAATTGGGAGACCACAACTGTGAGTCAAAGTTTTGTCCTTTATTTTCAAATCCTCATATGCCTTCTTTTTCTGAACCACAATAAAGATATGTGCTTCTCTGGACTAAAACAGGAAACCTGACTCAATGTGATTTATTAGAAAAGGCAATAAAATAATTTCCTCCAGTATAATTTTTGAGAAAAATAGGTACTTTTAATGACCTCAAAATTACAGCTTACTCTATTCATTTTGATGAATTTTTAAATGAAATGGAACAAAACTCTATATTATATACTTCTGCTGTGGTGGGTAGAATCAGAATTGGTATTTCTATAAATAGAAAACAAATTTTGGTTTAATAGAAGAAAAACATTTTTAACAATTTAAATTCAAAATAGTTAACAATGAGACAGACATCCCTGAAAGCAGTGAGCTCCCCATTGCAGAAAGCAGTTAAATAAAGGCAACATGAACACTGGTCAGCGGTCCTAGGAGCTCACTGCTGAGTTGAGCATAGTGGATAAGTACTCTGGTCTTTTCTGTTCTAAAGATTCCAAGAAAAGATGGTAGAAAAAGCTCATCTAGGCTGAATATTCATTGTGGTTGGAAGCCACTCACATTGTCCTCAAGAAAGAAGTTCAAACATTGTTGAATATTGAAGTTGAAAATTTGTTTTCTATTCATCATTTGGGTTCTCCAAGATGCTCAAAACATTTTTCATTGTCCTTACCCAATGCAACAAGAGAGAGATGACTGAGCTGGTTCCTTCTACATTGAGAGACAATCCCAGAGTTTTCTTGTACCAGCATTATAAAGTGTCTAAATACTCACTCTGTTGTTACAGTGAAGAGGCATGTATAACAACACACAGATTTTTCTCACTGACAGTCTTAACATTGAAAATTCATATATTTATGTATTTATTTTGCCAGTAGCTGTGCTTCAGCACTTTCATAGCATGTAGACCAAAGACTGCGTATCAGAGAAGTTGATCACCGCCTAACCTAGACTTCGACTGTCTAGGAGTAGACATAATGTTTAGTCATAACACACTACTGTGTCTTGAAAGTTGGCCAACAGACAGGATTCCAATGGTTAAACAGCTGGCTTCTGTAATAACAGCACTTCCCTTTAAATAATGCATGGTCAGTGGAGTAATTCAATAATCTTCAGGGCAAACTTGCTAGTTACAAGGGTTTTGGGCAGAATTGTGGCATCATCAAAACCACATCAATCAGCTGAGTCTCGAATTTTGTCATGGATGCAAGCCACTCGCTCTCCTCCATTGCTAAGGAGCAATGTGTGATGCTGAGATCTAACTGGGGTTATCACTTCGAGAGCAAAGAATTCTCCACTGATAAAACTACCTCTACTGGGGCACAAGTTTTTGTTTCTTACCAGTTTTGGGACGTGCAGTTGAGACCTTGTACTTGACTGATTTCCTTTGAGACTTCCCCTCTTGCTTACTGAGAAAGCTCTACTCTATTTTAAGTCATTGGAAAGAGGAAACATTGATTTGAAGAATCAGTATTTAAATAATGACAACTGCAAACATTTTCCAAATAGAGATATATCTAGTTTTGAAGACATGTACTTGTTACTCTTTGGGGTCCAAGGAATAAAATTACTCTCTAGAAATTTGCTAACAGGAGAAGGTTCCAAAATGCACCATTTTTTGAAAGCATGATAAA